CAAGAACAACAGACCTATGATTAGTGACATTAATAACAAATCATCCTCAGGTAGTGAATATTAAAGTTTATTCAAATCAGGCCCATGGGTAGAGTAGGACCACAGTAGAGGAAAAATTTTTTTTTACATGGGATTGTAAAGGGAAAATTTCAAAATCATCTTCTTTAGAACGGCAGATCCATGATAGTTAATACTGATACTGTCCCCGATGCTGTTTACCAGATATGGTCAACATTTTAAGTACGGAAGAACGCAGCCATGTAAATGTATACATGTTTTTGGTGTTAAAAAGTGTATAGCAATTTTGATTATAAAACAGAACTTGAGAGGTCTGTAGTTAAATACTCGAGATATATGATGAATGCAACTTAAGACTCTGCCAATTTTACCGACTTAACTGTACGTAATTGGATTCCTTCAGTGAGGAGATAGATCCGGATTTTCCTACCTGGGTTTTATCCTTTATAATACCATTGTATCGTCAAAGTCAGAAAATGGATTCTGAGTTATTTCATGTGATATTTGCATTATGTTATAAAACATACTTAAATGTAAAAGCATCCAAAGAGAATATTTAATATTTCATAGAACACAATTAAAGGCATTGGTACGCATGGGAAAATTTATGCAAAAACTTTTTATCTTGTTATTTTGCGTAAATTTCCACGTTGACAGTATTCTACAAAAGCCATTGCTCCAAACATAAGTAAAATATCAAATCCCTCAAATACCTCGTACGTTTACAGTTCTTATGATAGAAGGTGTGACAGACGGCGAAATGGACAGACACATAGAGCAGACGGACATACTGACAGACGTCAGGTATAGCGATCCCAAAGTGTTGCTCTGCTCTGCAGGCGACACAAAAAGAGGGAAAATAACTACAATGAGCAGTGATGATCAGTCTCGTAAATCCTTTAAACAAAGCAATCATTTACAGGGCTGTAAATCCTGTACACAACACTTATCATTAACAAGACTGTGAATCCCTTATTAAATAACTAATCATTAACAAGGCTGTAAATCCTGTACACAACACTTATCATTAACAAGACTGTGAATCCCTTAAACAATAACTAATCATTAAATCCTGTACACAACACTTATCATTAACAAGGCAGTGAATCCCTTAATAAATAACTGATCATTAACACGACTGTAAATCCTGTACACAACACTTATCATTAAAAAGACTGTGAATCCCTTAAACAATAACTAATCATTAACACGACTGTAAATCCTGTACACAACACTTATCATTAACAAGGCAGTGAATCCCTTAAACAATAACTAATCATTAACACGACTGTAAATCCTGTACACAACACTTATCATTAACAAGACTGTGAATCCCTCTAATAAATAACTAATCATTAACACGACTGTAAATCCTGTACACAACACTTATCATTAACAAGACTGTGAATCCCTTAATAAAAAACTGATCATTAACACGACTGTAAATCCTGTACACAACACTTATCATTAACAAGACTGTGAATCCTTTAATAAATAACTAATCATTAACACGACTGTAAATCCTGTACACAACACTTATCATTAACAAGACTGTGAATCCCTCTAATAAATAACTGATCATTAATACGACTGTAAATCCTGTATACAACACTTATCATTAACAAGACTGTGAATCCCTTATTAAATAACTGATCATTAATACGACTGTAAATCCTGTACACAACACTTATCATTAACAAGACTGTGAATCCCTTAATAAATAACTGATCATTAATACGACTGTAAATCCTGTACACAACACTTATCATTAACAAGACTGTGAATCCCTTATTAAATAACTGATCATTAATACGACTGTAAATCCTGTACACAACACTTATCATTAACAAGACTGTGAATCCCTTAATAAATAACTGATCATTAATATGACTGTAAATCCTGTATACAACACTTATCATTAACAAGACTGTGAATCCCTTATTAAATAACTGATCATTAATACGACTGTAAATCCTGTACACAACACTTATCATTAACAAGACTGTGAATCCCTCTAATAAATAACTGATCATTAATACGACTGTAAATCCTGTACACAACACTTATCATTAACAAGACTGTGAATCCCTTAAAGAATAATTAATCATTAACAAGGCTGTAAATCCTGTAAAAATCGAACAGGTGAAATTTATCATTTTTGACGTCGGATATAGTGGGTGGACAGAACGATAAAACCATAGTTTCAATTGTTTAAATTGTTTACAAGTAATTATATTAAGCCTTTGTATAATTTATCGACCAATACATTTTATTATATAGTCTATGAATTGTCTCTATGTAATCTATACAAACAGATCATAATACTACATATCCTACTGAGCAGGAAAATTGTTAGACAAGTCTATTGCAGGATTATTTTCCAAACATTTCGATGTCTGACACACAGCAAAATGAAAACACGGACGTAATAAGTTGTAATCTGGACATTTTTTTTATTTTTCTATGACAGAAGTTCGTAAATGAAAATGGAATCGTCATGCAGCCTTCAGTGTCTTATTCATTCAAATTATGACTACATAATAAAACAAATATGGACTCCTTCGATGGTGAATATGTAAAGGATATAGGCCTCAAACTGTCCATTCTGTGAGAAGAAAGAACTGTTGAAGGGGCGTTAGGCCCGACAATAGTTCTTTCTTCTCTCAGAACGGAGAGTTTGAGGCCTATAACCTACTTAAAACATTTACTCTATTGTGTTTATAATGTACTCTCTAAGAACGTTTTCTCATTCATTGTATAAAGTAAGCTTTGCCTACTTATTGTATAAAGTAAGCATTGTAGACTTATTGTATAAAGTAAGCATTGTCTACTTATTGTATAAAGTAAGCATTGTCTACTTATTGTATAAAGTAAGTATTGTCTACTTATTGTATAAAGTAAGCATTGTCTACTTATTGTATAAAGTAAGCATTGTAGACTTATTGTATAAAGTAAGCATTGTCTACTTATTGTATAAAGTAAGTATTGTCTACTTATTGTATAAAGTAAGCTTTGTCTTCTTATTGTATAAAGTAAGCATTGTAGACTTATTATATAAAGTAAGCTTTGTCTACTTATTGTATAAAGTAAGCTTTGTCTTCTTATTGTATAAAGTAAGCTTTGTCTACTTATTGTATAAAGTAAGCTTTGTCAACTTATTATATAAAGTAAGCTTTGTCTTCTTATTGTATAAAGTAAGCATTGTCTACTTATTGGTCTGTGAAGGTTGTTTGCAATCAAAAGAAACTTACATTCATTGTAATTGTTAACTTATTGGACAGTTACAGATAAGTGCTATTTTTTAAATAACTGTTTAAAGAATATTTAATCACAAAGCATGAGATTTGAATACCCTTTTGTTGTGATTGTGAATATTGTAAGCATGTCTTCTTCCGAGGCAGAAAGCATATTATTGATGCAAAACAAATTCAGATATTTGAACTCTAAAAGTGGACGTTTTTTTATCAAATATTTCGCAACTTTTGGTCAAGGCTATTCAAAGATCCAGAAAAACAAAAGGAACATAGAAAGATTTTGGTAATTAAATCAACAATATTTAGATGATTTAGAAGAGGCTAATCAGAGGAGAAATGCAAATGGGCAGTGACTGTACATGTTCTTTAACTGACAGATAGAATGCTACACAATACCCAACGTTGATGTTTTCATGTTAAAATCGTCACGATGTTGGGTGATAAAGAAATCATCAAAATTATTAGCTTTTTGTCGCTGAAGTCAGAAACGAATCGGGAGAAGATTAAACAAGACTATTAACAAAACACCCTTGCATTCCTTTAGTAGAAAAAACGATGGATGTACTCCTGCAGAAAAATGAGCAAAATTATTCAAAGTAGTAGTGAGAAAGAAGAAGGCACGATTGATTCTTGCCAGGAGAAGTGATATCCCCTCGTGTGTTGTTGGTGCAAGTAACATTCCAATAGAATTCGGAGATATTTCCTTCAAATTTAAGTTTTGATATTCATTGTGAGTTGGCATATACAATACATCATTTATTGGAACAATTACAAAGTTTCAGTTTTTGTTTCTGTGACTTGGAATATATTATTTCATTACGCTGTGAAACATGTTGGATTCATTGCCTTAAAAATATTCATTTGTTTTTTTTTTTTTTTTTTTTTTTTTTTTTTTTTTTTTTTTTTTTTTTTTTTTTTTTGTCGTGTTTTCTTAGTCCAATAAGTTACCTGTAGCCGTCCAATAACTTATTAAATACTGTCCATTATTTTTAATAATACACAGATTTGTTAACTTATTGGACAGTTCCAGGTAACTTATTGGACTGATTTAGCCCTTGCAAGAGATAGAAAGTATTAAAAGAACAAAAGATGATGTCATATTAACTCAGTTTACGGAATTTTATATATGTAGGACAATTATTATAAAGGAAAACTTTGAGGAATCTAATCTTTTCATGACAGTTATTTAAAAGGTACATTTCAAAAGCTATACATATGAATTAAATAATTTCATTACAATTGATAGGTCATAATCATAAGTATAAAGCCAATATATCGTACATTTACTACTCATATTGAGATGCCACCACTTGCCGGTGGAGGGCTGCAAATTTAGACCAATATTCGGCACATAGGGCCCTAGAGCAGTGAGAGATCATTTTTAGTCCCAGCACCTTACTGGGACCTCGGTTTGTACGGTCTCATCCGAAGGACTGGCCTCCACGTCTCGCAATATATTTGAATCCGCGACGTAAGGATCAACTGCTTTCGCTGCGACTCTAGAACAAACGCTATAGCCACTATCAAAAATTCTAATTATCATTGAATAACATATCATTTTGGTAACTCTTAAAAAGAAAATACCCTTATTTGATTCATGTTTATTTAATAGAAAACTAACAGACCAATCCTTTAAGTGCTAAGAATTGAGATGAATGATAAAAATAATACGCTTTTCTTAACATGCAAAAAGAATCTTGCTTTCATAGATTTTGATTATTTATTTGATTAATTAATCAAGAAGCCAGAGAAATGAGTATGGTAGCAGCATCCTATTATAGAATGAGTACCCGACACAGCGTCAACCTGGACGAAGATTTCGTCACCTCTTGACAGCGTAACGGCCACCACCTCTGTTCTCTTCAGGAAATAGTCATGGTTTGAATCCAGAAATAAATAACCGATTGTGCTTCCATTCCTTCTCAGCAGGAGGTGCAGACTATGACCGCCAGGAGAGGGTGGGACAGTTCCAATCATGGAGAACATATAGTTACCATCCACAGGGGCGCGGAATACACCAGTGACGTTGCTGTACGCATGCCCGACATTGGTAATAGTATCATCAAACACGACTGTGTGACCATTAGCGGGGTTATTTAAAGTCTTACTGAGTTGGCTCATGAAGACAATGGATTGGTGCGCTAAAAAAAAATAAAAATATTTTTTGAACGTTTGTAAGATAGAATTTAAGAGGAGACATCGATTTTTTGGCCTTCTATTTTCAAGATATTATTTACGTAATACAAAAGCAGTATGCAGTGTTCATTATATCAATATAGCGTTTCCTATGGTTTTTTGGTAGTATATGAGTTTATCCAGCAACTTGTTTGTTTTCTATCCCGAACGTTCCATGGCGAGGGGATAGAAGTCACACAACGAAATGGATAAAAATCATATCCGACCTAAAAACATGCAAAATTGTTTTTATGGCATGTTTTACAAATAGTTATCACATGTTTTTCATTGTTTTTATAGATGAACCCACTTTATATGACTCCATGACATTCACGCAAAACCTTTGTGCTTGTTAAAGCATATGCCCGATATCCAATGTATAAAGGAGTAAACATTTAACAAGAAAGAATATTCCATAGACAGCCTTAAACGTTTGGTACCAACTAATTATCATCCTCGTCCATTCTCAAGATCTTTAATAATAAAATAAAGGAATGAATTTAATAGCTACCCATTTTTTACGGTATAAACTGGGTTGGCGCAGTTTACGCTTTTTAAACCGCGAAGCGATCTATAAAAAAACGTAAACTGTTCCAACCCAGTTTATACCGTAATAATTGGGAAGCTATTAAATTCATTCCTTATAATTTAATTTTCATTCATTTGGTGTAAGAAGAAAATATGATTGTCCTTAAAAAATGACTTCAATTTATACCAAATTTGAATGTAACGTCAGGCGGATCGATACGTTTTTGACGCAAGTCATTGTGACGGAGGCAACCCATTTTATACGATATAAAGTAATTTTTTTATCCAATCTAATACAGCGTTACAACCAGAACTAAATTATAGATGTTTCAAGCAAACTAGAGGAGAAATAAGTTTACTCTAACATTCAAATTATGGATGTTAGATTTGGATGTAGGCTTGGAGCAGCAAATATCAAAATTATCTTTTGTCTTTAAAATATCATATTTTGAATATTTTTTAATATCAAAATGAGGTTGCTGTTTATTCTGTGCCTGCCCATAAGTCTCTGCATAATGTGTTTCTATTTTAAGCACAAAATTTACCTGATTTGGACTCTAGTGTTGCCACTTTTTGCTCTAAGGTCATCACCTTTGACTTGAGTTCCTGAATCTCGTTCTGGAGAACGTTGTCACTCAGAAGTAATCTCTCCTCCAGTGACGTCACAATCAACGCATATAACCAGAATTGGATGAGAATTCTAAAGACCTTCATACTAAGAAATATTTCAAGGAGTGAATGAATTGCTTCTCTTGCTATCAGAAAAATATCATCGAAGTCTCTTATCAGCGTTGACCCTTTATATAAGTAATCCCTGCTTTGAAAACTCTCATTATAGAAATGAATAATTCTGATGTTGCTTTTATAAAGTTATATATATATATATATATATATATATATATATATATATATATATATATATATATATATAATTAAACACTAAATATTTTTACAATTATTTAATTTTTGTAAACGGATTGATTTTCTTGTTTTATATCTAGTAATAAAATATTTTTATTCTATTAATTCAGGTTGTGTTTATAATTTTCAAAGTTAATTATTGCAGAAACAGGTGTCTGTGCTATCCATGTCTCCATCAGGGCTAGACTAATTAAAATGCACTTTCTTTAGAATGGTAAATATAATGTTTCAAGTTTATTGTTATATGGGAGAAAAACCGATTAAATTTAAATGAGGATTTTGAATACTTTGTAAATCGAACTTAGACATTAAATTATACGTACTTTGTTTTGACACACACGTATACTGTTATTTCTCTCAATCCGATCAATTTTCTCTAGGTACAACTTATTTTAAAGATTAAAAAAAAACAGCAACATAGGATGACATAGACTAGATTGGCAATTATTGAATTTTATCGTTAACAATTTGAATTGATTTGTGTCGAGGTAACATTTAATTAGTTTTGTTTACCAAAAATAAGAAAGATTTTTCTTATCCATAAAATGATATAAAACCCTAATCAGAATTGCCGCCCTTCATTGTTTTAGTTATTTCTTATTTAATATTCAGAAGAACAGCCGATCAGATTAAAGGTAACATCCGACTAAATTCCTACACAATGGAAAGCGGGGTAAAATAAACAATGTAAAGGAAGAATGCGCTTAACACCGGTTTTTGGGTCATTTTCAGTTGCTTCTGTTGCTTTTATATCTAAACTTATTTCACTTTTGTATGTTTATGAAAGAATCCTGTCAATTTGAAACCAAATTTAAATGTTAAAATTATTTTAGACTGTGTTGCAATAAAATGATTCAATGTTTTTTGTCCTTACTGCTTTCCAAATATAGAGACTTTACACTTATCTGCCCTTGATTAAACATAAGATATTCATGAGAGGTGGAGCTAACATTGTAAGAATTGGTCTAAATTAGACTTGATAAATAACAATGACTTGTTTGAAGAAAAGAACGTGATCACTCTTTCCAATCTCCCTCTCCTTTCTGTATGGCACAAATACACTATTGACAAAGGTTTCAAAACGAAATTAACAATTGGAACACATCAATGTAATTAAAGCAGATTTATATCAATGCCAGATGACTTAAGGTATTCGAACACAATGTCCTAGTTAGCACAAAGCATGCTACCTTACATGTCACAAGTATTCACAAAGTTACCTGAGGTACGAAATCACGTGGTGTATTATAATATTCAACATGTCACAACCCTTGGTTACAACACAGAGTGCGAATGTAAGAAGATACAGTTTTTTTTTCTCTTTTTAACCAAGAGCGCATGTTTTTCTATTAATCTCCTTATGACACATTATTATTTATGTAAATATAAAACTACTGTTAAAGGTAGAACAATAGACAAACATGTGCTGACTATGTATGAAGTCAGTAAAAAAGTGGGCGTCCTCATTATCGAACGGAGATTCAAGAAATTGTGATGACTCCTGCCTTTGAAAGCAGATTCGAACTTCGTAAATACACATTCTTATTAAACGTAATTACATAAAGTTGTGGATTGGATGTTGACCATTCTTGCAATGAAAAGAAAAATGGTTGTTTTGAAAGCTTATTTCGTCGCAAATTTCGCATGTCCTTAAGTGCAGTCATCCTTTAGTGGAGAGAATAGACAATAGACCTTAATTAGGTAACCCCCCCCCCCCCGAGTCCTTGGTCGACGAACAAGAAACTATAAATACAATGTACAGTTTATTATAACAAAATTAAAAATGTTATGAAAATAAACAACAAATTAAAGATTAAAATAGTACGAAAAAAGAGAATTATTTTGAAACCCATAAACAAAGATATAAAGAATTAAAACTAAAGAAGATGTGTTTATAATATTTTTAAAATCTTAAATATTACTTCAACATTTTCAACTTCATTGGCGCCACTTACGGAGCATTTACTTTGACCTTTTTGCACTGTTATTACATCTTATCCATAAATCAATTTTTCGAAATGTTTCCTTGAATACACACATGAAAATTTGTGACGAGGAAAAAAATCAAATTACCTGGAATAGTTAAATATGTCACCTTTTCCGCACTCAAAAAATGTATTTTTTGGAATTAAAAATGTAACAAGCAATAAACTCATTTTAAAGTATTTAGATTTTGCTGAATTTTAGTAGAATAGTTAAAATCATATTGTATATTCAGAAAAGACAATTTAAAGTAGAGACCTATGATGTAAATATTTAAATATTACTAAAATAATGTTAGTTTTAAGCTTAAGAACCCTCTCTACACTGCACAGTAAAGAGTTCTGATTCAATGGTATTTTTCTGCAGTTAGAGTGATCTGCCCTTAGATCTAAATTCCAAAAAATTGAAATTTACAGTATATTACTCAATTTGTAATCAGTTCAAGCATTCATATCATTTTAAATAGCCAAGTTAAATTACTTGAACACTTTATTCGCTTGTATTTTCTCCACGGAAGTAAATGGTAGTGATTTCTGTTCATTGAAACTTTGTCGTCTTTGAACATTTTTCCTGGAGGTAAATGCCACGTACCATATATTGAAAATCAAATTGATAAGCTCAATATTTACAACATTATTCAATATAATTTTCTCAATGTCAAAAAAACATTTTGCACAGGTGTATAGATGGTCCTTAAATTTGGATATTATTTTCTGGGCTTTCACAATATACATATCTGCTATATTTGTCACAATAATTAATGAAGATAAAATTCATGAAAATTATTTTGATAAATAATTTGGGAACAACATTAAGCATTTGAAGGCACACAATAATTCTGTGTGCAATCTTCATGGAAAAATAGAAATCCAAACTTAACGGTGTTGTAAATACTTAAAAGACAAAAACGGATTATTTTCTTCTTAAAAAAAAAACCTTCCACCACAAAATATAGTTTCTCACTTTATGCTTTTGGTATGGAGTTTAATCGTGGGGTTTCAATTGAATATAGTTAAATTAGCATTGTAGAATCCATTTTTTTTGTATTAAGCAGAATTTTAATAGCGGTCTAAACAAAAATCTCCTCAAAAGCTCAGGATCGATCCCCTTTAAGCTACCTTTAAGCACCCATTAAGGAGGTTGAGAAAGCTTCATGGTAGTTTAATAATGGTGTAAAAATATCTTAATCTATTAATTTCCAACAAAGAAAGTTTTGTGTTTTCATCTAATAACATTTGTCCATTATAATTTTACTAGGTCATTATATCCCCAAAACAAAGCACATTTATAAATTTTACTTATCAAAAATAATATCTTAATTCACAGCTGGTTTAGCCAGAAATCAATGTAAAATCCCATGAACGAACACCAATACATATCTATTTTGAGAGAAATAAAACATGTAAAACGGACTATTTAAAACACAAATATTAAAAAAAATATTAACTTTTGTAATGATCATCCGCAAACATAGAAAAAATTGAACAAATATTTACACTGTTATTGATACACATTTTTATCTTTGAAAAACGCTGTTAGTTTGTTTACACTACTGGCCTATATAATTACTGATAGTGCCACTTTTTACTGATAATTTCTGATATTTACTGATATTATACTGTTGGTACTGAGAATTTCTGATATTTGCTGATATTTTTACTGTTGTTACTGATAATTGATGTTGGTTCTGATAATTACTGATATTTACTGTCGTTTTTACTGTGGGTTCTGATAATTACTGATATTTGCTGAGAGTTACTGTTGGTACTGAGAATTGCTGATAATTACTGAGATAATTTTCTAAGTTCATGAGATCCAAAATGAAACGGGGTGGATGGATTAGATAAATTTAACAATTATTTTAATTCAATAATTTATTTTTTATAATTTATTTTAAGCTGTAGGTATTTACAATTTGTAACTTGAGTGACAGCAGGGGAAGTTTACATTTTTCTCATAAAAATTATTTTTTAGTCATCACATATTTGAATTTAATTTCTCCTTCTGTAAGAAGATTGAACCTGCCAACCCCCCACCCCCACCCCCACATTTCATCCTGTTTCTTAGTTCTTAAGGACTTACTTGTATTATTTCAATCGATGAAGTAGGCCTAAAACAGCTGTAAAAAGGACGTAATAAATCAGTTTCAATAAAACCAATTTAAAAAAAAAAACTGGACTCATATTTAATATATAATACATATGGTGCGGTGATGTTGGACATGGAAATCGTCATTCGGATGGGAATGTATAAACCGCAGTTTTCTGTCACAGTAGGTGCTGGCACAAAAAAGATTCTCAGTGATCAAATAGTGCAGTCACGAGAAAGATCTCTCTCTCTCTCTCTCTACTCATTGTTTATAAGTGCAGAGTACAGATCGAATTTGCATAAGAAAGATTTCTCATTATTTCGGTAAAAAATGCCGCCGAGTACATGTCAAAAGTTGAACACGGAAGATCCTATCACTGATTTATGGACATACAAATTACATGTAAGTGCAGCGTACAGGTCAGAATTGCAGCTTTTAACAGGCAAATAATGGCGTCAGAATATGAGTGAAAAGTTATCTAAAGAACACATGTAAAAAAAAAAAAAAAAAAAAAAAAAGCGTTGATTTTCAATGCGATACAACGTACTATAGTTATTTGTTTCAGAAAATTCTTGATCCGCCGCACCAGAGTATTATAAGAGATTTGATCAAAGTAAGTCAAGATCGATACACCACCAGTCCGTTCACACGTTGTAATGTTTTGAACATTTTTCTAAAGCATTACAGATTGTACAAGTAGTTCAAAACCTTGACACATACTGTATGATAATGTTTCTCGAATACATTGATCATGATTCTATTTTTGTCGTCAGAAATATTTTTTCCATGGACTGTCAGTAAAAACAACCAATGGGGAAAAATAAATGTTCGATACACATAAAACCTCAGCGTAATTATTTCATATAAACATAATTCATGTACAATTTTGACTGAACATGTCCAGAGACATATAATTATTGTCCTTAAAATAAATAAAATTAATTTTAATTCTTATATTTTATATGTTTTAATTGCTGGATATCTTAAAACGGGCTAATTACACGAAGAACCTTAATCAGAAGTTTGTAGCAAATAAGTTTTGAAAGAGGGGGAGGGGGGCAAGCGAGATCTATAATCATCCTAAAAATATATTAGAGATAGCGCTTTCTCAATAGATGATGCGTCTTATTCTGAGTCTCTTCAGTGGAAAACTATTTCACAATCTATGATTTTTGCAGAAGGGTAGACGTTTATATGTGTAAATGAGGACATACTGTACAAGTAAAATGCACACGGAAGTATAGTTGATTTGTAAACTTAAGGAAAACAACAGATCTGAAATAATTTTATACAAAGTTTAGTGTGTTGTTGGAGTTAATTGAAACAAGCCAAGGTCATTTAACAGAGAATCAGCATGTTTGATATCAGTATCATGGACTATTCAGTGTTAATTTCTAACTTAATTGACAATCTATCCCTCATTAACAGTTACTGTGACTTATTTTCCTGTTGCACTTAGCTCATTAAATTCATCAGAATATCAAAATAATATAAGATTTGGTTTACATGAACAAGTTCAAAATCCTGTTCGATTTATTACAAAAATATTTTTATTCATCCCAAATGTTACAAGTATATTTTGTCTTATTACTGTTGAACACAGTGACGGGATCCTAGGACTTTTATGGGTATTGTACACAAACGGAAGCGCTGTGATGTACACTGTGCGGTAGCGAGAAAATAACACAATAGGTGTCCCTGTTGTATGTATATATATACATGTATGACACGGCGAGTGAGACAAGGGCACTCGGCGACCGGGACTCGCCGGATATCACAAACAGTCAGTTACGCAACGACGAAGTGACAGAAAGTGACAGGTGGATTCAAAAATTCGTTCATTTGCGTAAAAAGAACAGAGGGGAAACAATTACATGAAAAATAAAAGAATTTAAATGTATCCAAATATGATGTTATCAACACGATGCTTGTTAACTGGAACGTTTAAACTAAAATTCTAGGGGGGAAATTACTTCTTTTTTATATTTCCAGCGAAGCGTGATGAGTAAAACTAATAATTAAGAATGCCTTTTTTCAGAAGAAATTAATTTAATACATATAAACAGATAGACAAATGAATGAAAAAAAAAAGTTTATCCTTGTAAAAGTCTACTTTGGGATATAGGTGAAATAATTTATTTTTATCTAAACAATGTTCCGGGATGTATTAAAAAAATGCAGTATCAAGCGTTATATTTCTGTGGTTCTAATCCTCTTATTTTCCACGAGGTTGGGTACATGTTATTGTGCATTCTGCATTTTAAGGCAGAAAAAGGGGGGTATAATAAGCAGATTCTTAAAATGAATATTTATTATCACAGAGTGACAGGAATACATATCAGAACCCACAGTAAAAACGACAGTAAATATCAGTAATTATCAGAACCAACAGCAATTATCAGTAACAACAGTAAAAATATCAGCAAATATCAGAAATTCTCAGTACCAACAGTATAATATCAGTAAATATCAGAAATTATCAGTAAAAAGTGGCACTATCAGTAATTATTTAGGCCAGTAGTGTTATTTACCACTAATTCATTTCCATCAACATCGTTTCAATTTTTACAAAATTTTCTGGCAAAGACATGCAAAAGGTAAAATTTATTGCTATTAAAACTTCATTGCGTTATTCTTATTCTCTACCAGAACTCTTACAAATGTCATAATCTTCTCCTCCCAATTTTTACAAACTTAGGAATTAGTAGCTTTCACTTCACAGAGAGACCACGCCCCTTTGGCATTACCACTGAACAAATACAGATTGACATCTCTACAGTGGGCGGGGTCAGGACAGTCACAACGATACACACAACTTGAAAAAGCGTCAGGTACGACCTTGTTGTCTGTCAGAGTACAGAACTGGGTCGGTTCCTTAATGGCCCTGTAGGATACCTAGAAATATTTGGAAAGAAGAATCAATAATTGTCACAAGCGACCTTGAGTTGTGATGGGTTCTTTTAATTCGTACTTAAAAACAACACAATCAGTATTTTGGATGAATTCTGTTCACCAAAAAATTAAAAAAAAATTGTAAAAATTAACAATGAAATTATCTACATATGTACAAAAACTACCAAAACGGCAAAGAAAGTCCGCATGGGATCAGCATTTTCCGTATGAATAACATATCTTTCTACATGCAATATTTTCCTTCTAAGGTTCACGAAAGTCATACATGTGTCTTTCCATTGCTAATATTTGTAAGCTTCTGCTCTCAATCAATTTAGTAAATCATTATCATATCATAGAGTTTCCTCTTTGTTTTGGTTAAACATATAAAGTGGTAAAGAAGGAAGTGTACTTTTACCAGGGTTGGCAAAAAAACTGGGAAATACTCGTATTTCCCAGGACGGTGGGAAATACTGGTAATTACCGGGAATTATTGGTATTTCCCGGGAATTACTGGGAAATAAGAAATAGCTACATATTTCATTCATATTGACATGTAGTACACCTTAATGGCTAATATATCTACCTGGTATCACTGTCCCTGATTTTAAAAAATCTGGTTTCCAAGTAATTCATTTTATATAATTATAACAGAGCATACTCATTTACAAGTCATGAGAGTCATTTGTTTTATGTTAGTCAGATGTAGCCTATAAAGGTCCATGAAATGAACCCAAAGATCCCAATTGGGTTTTTTTTATGTAATTAAAGAAGGATCTAAGAAAATTGTTAAATGTAGAGTATGGTATAAATATCAAACCTAAGAAGAAGCTTTTCAGTTCTACTCAAGGTAATTATCTCTCAAAACAGGAGCACAAAACTGCCCACAGCAATTTGTTAAAACAACATGATTGTTTGTAATAACTACAGTGTTTAAAGAAGGATTAAAACAAGTTTTTTTGTTCTTGGACTTATAATTGACAAACTTAATAATTTTACAAAACTGAAAAGAAACTTGAATTGGAAAACTTCAGATTTATACAGCCAGGGATATATTTCAGAATGCTTATGGGTGTCGGATCTGGAGAAGTGATACATTCTGAATATGTTTAATTGCAATTTGAGACATATTCCATATTATTCATCAACTGTTTTTATGTTTATTTTAATTTTTAAATTTTGTATAAGATTGAATGAATCAGAGGAATAAAAAAAAATTAAACTTTGTATTTCCCAATATTTCCCAGTTAGAGAAAATTTGTAATATTTCCCGGGACGGGAAATACCGGTATTTACCACTGGTAATTCCCACCACTGGTATTTCCCGGCCAACCCTGACTTTTACACCATATAAGATTTAATAGTTGTCATTGCAGATATGCAGTTCTCTTTACCATTATGACAATGATGTCGGCAATATATTTTTCTTTTTTTTTTTCCTTCATCTTTTTAAGCATATCAATTTATATTGAATCTCCACAAAACAGAAGAACTCCTGGGTGTTCTTATTCTATGATAATTGTCCTCTATTATAATTAGTATCACATTAATACTATGGATTTATAATATTGTCTGGATTTTTATATTCTTTTCGCCCAAATAATCCTGGACCATAGATTTACATTTAATCCTCTGCGGCTATAATATCTTGGAACAAATTTCCTTATCAACATCTTTAGATACAAGATATCATAAAAAATGGAAGTTTTCCTAGATACAACAAACGTATCCGCAGTAGTACAAATTTATTAGAGAATTCCTAATTTTTCATAATGTTTAAGCTGCTTATTAGATCATAGAAACTGCAATAATTCAGTACAAAATTTAAGGCATTTAACGGAAAATTCATACTTCTTCAAGTTAAAGTCAAATGGTTATTTATAGTTTAAGCTACTGACAGTTAGTTGATGATACAGGGATTTCAACAATCTCGTTTAAAAGTCATTATTTTGTTAATTCTATGCTAATTATAAACATGTAAGCAAATAAAACCTATTATTGGGGCTTAATTAGGATGACATGTTTATTACCGATTGTTAGATCTTCGTTTTATACTGAATGACTACGGTATGTTATGTATACCTGATTAATACATTGGGCTTAAAGCGGATGTGACCGGTCAACAGGGGAGCTTACTCCTCCCACCTCTTGAATTTTAAAGGTTCGTGTTTTATGCCCTGCTCACAGATATGTATTGTTTGTAGATTTTGTTTTTAGAACGGTCACTTTGCGTTATCTTCACCTTTTTCATATGTTATATTTAATATCTTGGAACTTTAGCCCCACATATTTTTACTTAGAGAGTGTTTCGGTTATGATATGCTAGAAATATAAAATATAGGTCTCATTTTATATTTTTAGAACAAATTTTACACATTCTCTCAATAGACTGTACCAAGAAATGAAGATACATTAGAGAAGTCAAGATTAAATTTACACTTTTTATGGTCTGAAAATTGCATAGTTTGACCGATATCTCAGAATGTAGATTTTGTTTTTAGAACGGTCACTGTTACTTATCTTCACTTTTTTTCATTTAGAGTCGTGTTTACCTGAAGCATCCGAGAATTTGAGTGCCTGTCACATGAAATTCCTATTCCCGATATGTTAAGGGTGAAAGGCTTTGCCTGGATTCCGAAGACTGGTTCTGTTGGAATACTCATCATCAGGAACGGGGTGAAGTCTTCTTGGGATGGAAGTGGTAAACATGTGCCTTCATTGTCATCGAAGACAATTGCTATCTCAGATTTCTTGGCTCCATTGAGATCGTTAAATATAAAAATTGATTCCCATCCTGGAAGAGGAAAAGCAAGTAGATATCAGATATTGCTTCACAAAAAAACAGGAGTATCTTCTAAACCCAAACTCTTTCTACATAAGCAGAAAACACTTCGCGTTACCTCCTGATTTATTTTTCAGTTGAGTTTTGTTTAAGACACTTTGTTATGACCAAAACATAGTAGTTATATTGTAGAATTGTAGAATATTTACATGGAAATCAATCTGACAAAGCGTTGATATATTAACATATAGTTATAATATACATTTCTTAATATCTTATATGACCTATGTGTGAATAATATGACACCATTAATATTTCGGGAACAGAAAGCATGGATATATGTCATATCCTTTTTACTGAATAGGAATTGAAGAGTGAATACAAATGAGACAATTAATGTTTAATGTTTGTAATGTTTTGTTTTGTTTTGTTTTTTTAATTAAAGACATATTGTTAATATATTACCTCTGGAAATCAAATAATTTTCGGAACTTTTTCTAGTTGGAACTGGAAAAGAATACATTTTTTTCTATTTTAAAAGATCCAAATTCCACATTCATGTACATTCAAAAATTACGTCGAAAAATCTTTCTACACTTTTTTCTAAAACCATTTGTGGACAGTATTTATCTAAACCTCAATTTTTATATTTGATTAATTAATTATGATTATAAAAAATGTTAAAGATTGTTATTCATAATACACATATGCGGTATGTACTGTCAAAGAAAGTTAAGTTGCATTTACTTAAGGTTCACAAACCCTCTGTTCACTCATATAAAATGTTTCTTTAACTCTTATGATTTTCCAGAAGAGACATATTTGTTAAGTAAAAAATAAACAATTGTAACATACCTTGTTGGGCAAAATTGGACAAGAAAGACATTTCAACTTGACAAATTTACAATGTAATGATAGACATTTATTTCATTAAGAGTTATCTCTCTTATCAGAGTATCAATGAACCTTATTTTTCATGCATATACTTTTACCGTTACAGTCGTTTTCTCCAAGGATCATGATTTTCTTTGGTTCTTTGGGTTCTAAAGTGGGAACTTTGGGTTCTAAAGTTGATTCTTTGAGTTCTAAATTTGATAAAAACACTATCTTAATGTGACAGAAGCAAGCAATATTGATGGCCAAAATCAAAGAACACTATTTTAAAAATTGGGAGAAGGGCAAACATAGACTCCTGAAAACAGCAGAAATTGGATCAGGTGGCATCATGTAGTTATCATCCCCTATGTCTTGATCACATGACTAGAGTAATCTGTAGTCATGAAGAAATCAAAATTCTGGCATCTTTATCTTTCACGTGAAGGTCAACATTCGACCTTATGATATGTATTTGTAGACAAGGACATTGTACCGACCATAGAACAATTTAAACAAGATAACTGTTACCGCTGTAACACAGATCTATTGAACGGTAGTCTGTCTCCTCACCTACCTTAAGGAAGGAAATGGAAAATGCGATCTTAGTACATTCTTAATGGGTATTGTTTTAAAAAATGTTTGTAACAAAGTAACTGTAAACATGTAAAAAGGTAATATAGATGTCCATAATGGATAGGTTTGTGGCTCATTCAGTACCAGTTACATCGCATGTATCAGCTGTGTGTCACTTGACTGGTATAAAAATAGAATTGTTCAGCTGAATGTAGAAAATGATGCTAGAGCAAGGGCATACGCATGTTTTTGAGATTAAAAAAATAGATACATAATAAAAAAGATTTACATCGGCTTCCCGGAAAGTGCTGGGAGCTACTTTGAGTTGTTTCGGAAATACTCGTAATTTTGACGAAAATGCGTATAATAGCTCAAAATTTCCACTTCGCTTGAATTCTGTCACGAATAAAAATAATGTTATGCCGACCAGAATCAGCTCCCAGCACTTTTCAAAATATACATGATATAAGCAATTGATATTCCATATTTCAGCTGAAACAGTCTAGTCTATGCCCTTGCACTTTAGAGGTAAATCAGGTATACACGTATCGTGTTAGCGATATTCTTTACATTCCCTGCCTTTGTGCAGCTCCATAGCACCTAGATAAATTAATAATCTACATTATTGTTTTAAGTAAATTATTTCCTTATAATTTTTGTTGATTGGATTTAAACATTGGCGATGGTTTTAAATTTATTTAAGCATTTTTGTAATTACTAAACCAATGGATCCACTCCTCTGGATTACGTGTACTGCGTCAAGGCTAGTGACGTCATTTATGACACAAGATTTGCTGCTAATAACTCGGCTGTATTGTATTCAAATGTTGTGATTTTACATGCGATTATAAATAATTGATAAAATAAATGAATGCAAGTTGTTATTTACGCATCATCAGGTGGTTGAAAAGATTTTTGTAGCTTGTTAAATTTTAATGACGTCACAATGAAACTTCGCATACGGCATGTGAACTCAAACTTTCTTTAACGTAGCTGAGTCCATTTTATTACTTGATCTTTAGAATCAATTCAACAAATAATTAGGAAACATCAATACGATATCCAGGTGATTATAAAACATTACTACATAAATGGGAGAGTTTTATGAAACACACGTATTCAATATATGAAAGATAATAAATACCATTATTTGAAAGATGTCGTTGTTTTATTGTCTAATTTATAATGAGGACCTAGGCAAATAGTTTCTACTCATGTAGAACTTTTTTGGGAAAAAAATGTGCTCTATAAAGATACAGAAGAAATCGATTAATAAAGTTATACAACTAGCATCCTTCTGAATTGAAACATATTGTTGAAAGAACAATTTTTCTTTAATATCCACTTTAATTATCACCATTTCTTATACAATGACCTTGTCGCAATTACAATCTATCATTAAGTCGAATGCTGATTGAAGTTTTTCATACTAGTTGTTAGACCATTATTTACACACTGAATTGTCGACGGAATTTTTCGTTATCAACCGATCATGGCAAGGAGCACATGACGGGTGTGACCGGATCGGCAGGGAATCTCTCTGCTCCATGGCACCTGATACCCATTCTGATGTTTTCGAGGTCCGTGTTTGCTCTACTCTTGATTTGAATTTTTTGAATAGACTTTTGAGGTTAAATATTGTTCGTTATCTCCATATATTTCACTCAAGTATGATTTAAGAAAATCTATCAGACATTTCTTCTTCATTCGTTTTAATATTTTTGTGTTAAAAATACAAAAAAAAAAAAAAAAGACTCACAGTACAACAGTATAACATTTGTAGATCCTGCAATTAATCTTTAAAGATTTTTATGAAATTTAGAAATCCAGTATAGGTGTCATATTTCATAATGTTTATACTTATATACCGGTATTGAATATGTTTAAATGTAATAAACCGGGATTATTGCACTTTGCGTTATATAATAATTTACGTCGAGATCAACACAAAATGTAACAACAGACTTTTTAGGATTATTACATTTTGCGCCGAGATCAACGCACAATGTAATAACGCAAAATGTAATAACACGATTTTTGGATTGTCATATTTTGAGATGTTACATTTTGCGTCGAGATTAAGCTAAAGGCAAGAGCGCAAAATGTAATAACACACTTTTTGATCAGTCAGGTTGAGAATAATTTTCAATTGATTAGTGGGTTAAGAAAAGAAAATAAAACAAAAGGAAAAATAAACATATGCTAATTCTGACATTAGATCGGATTTTATAATATATTGATTTCATTAGCTAAATATTCAAAATTAGTTTGATATTCAAATCGTAGGTGTTGCATATTAGAAATGTGCATGCGGGGCGTAGGTTGGGGAGGGGTGGGGGGTTAATTGCGTTCATCAGTGTGCTCTTTTGATAGGCACAAGCAGTGAATTTTAATAAAATCTATTAATTTGTATTGGCAGGTGTAATATATAGCGGGGAGGGGGTTTATTGACAAATATGATTCCGTACTGTTTTACAAATCCCGTGTATTGCAGACCAGCAAAAATAAATTTCTTTTTTTCCTCTCTCTCTCTCTCTCTCTCTCTCTCTCTCTCTCTCTCTCTCTCTATATATATATATATATATATATATATATATATATATATATATATATATATATATATATATATATATATATATATATATATATATATATATATATATATATATATATATATATATATATATATATATATTTGTCTCTCTCTCTTCAATTATAAAATGGATGATTTCTGCATGTGCATAGAAATACAATGATCAACATACGAAGTAAACACTCCCACTCGATCCCTGCCTCTCCTCGCCAGACACACACACATACACTTCTAATTTGCTAACTAATGTACACATGCACGTCGTACATGCATATAAAGAGCTTTTAATGGACACATGGTCAATCTTTGGTAATTAAAAATGTCATTGATTAGATATATGATATAGACTTATTTATAAAGAGACGTGTCAATCAAAGTTAAGTTAATGTTTTATCAGTATTCAATAAAAAAAATTCAGAAACAGATACAAAAAGATACATTTAGATTTAGTAATGTCCGTAAAAGACGTAACGTCTTCCTCATGTCATAGTTCTGTCTGTCAATTTTGTAAAGTGAATTTCCCCATGGTTATAAATGTTCAAATCAATTTTGTGATGTTTTGCGTTGAACACAATTCAAAAATTTAATTATATTTTGTTTTATTACATTTTGCATTGTCCTCAAAGCAAAAATTAAATAACGCAAAATGTAACAACGAAAAAGTGCGTTATTACATTTAGCGTTAATCACAACGCAAAATGTAATGACGCATAATGTAATAATCTAGAAATCATGCTATCACATTTCCCGTTATTACATTCTGTGTTGATCTAGATGCACAATATAATAACGCAAAATGTAATACCCCCAGTTTATTACTTTTTGCGTTATTATTACATTTCGTGTTGTTTGTTACACACTGTTAAGAAAAAAATACTTGATTTTTGATGGTCCTCGTTCTTGATCAACAATAAGGCGATTTTTTTTTCATTTTGCATAGTACTTTTGTTTTGACAAGATAGAGATAAAGGATTTATACAATGAAATATGTGGAGATAACAAACAGTATTCGAGTTCAAAAGTCCATTAAACATTACAAAATAGGAGCAGAGCAAACACGGACCTCTAAAACATCAGAGGTGGGATCAGGTGCCATGGAGGAGTGAGCATTCCCTCCCGACCGATCACACCCGCCGCGTGCTCCTTGACATGTTCGGGAAAAAACGGGAAAATCCGTAGAAAAAAAAAATAAAAGAATTGTGAGATTCTCAATTTTTATGTTAAAGATTTCAAGAGTTTATATTGTTTACTTTTGCTTTTATAACATTTTTACATGTATGACCCCCTCTTAAAGATATTTAAGTTTATCCTGACTTCAAAAACACACATACAAGGTCAATCAACCTATCGGTTGAAAAAATGTTTTAAAAATCATTATATAAAATTGTAATTAGGTTTTCTAATCTGTAATGTCTTAATTTTGTTTTGTTTTTTTTTTATAATATGAAAATAGTTTCTTTGAAAGAATAAATATGCTTGATTTTACTATGATGCGCGAAGTATTTTTCAATGGAAACCCCATTCAGCCCCCTTGAGAAAATTTTAAAGGACATGTGCCCTTGACATAAAATGTGTAACACATGTTAGGGTCATGTCGTCGTACTGAAGTTCAATTTTTATTACAAGAAGAATGTGACCTTAGCTTGTGCGATAAAAACATGTTAAAAAGTTCATGGAGCTGTAGATCTAATCATCATGTAGCATTACAACATCAGCAGCAGAGCCCAACGGTTTCCAGCAAGTGACCACCAGAATATCTACAAAAATTGAGTGGTGATATATCACCTGTTGATATTCAGTGGAATACCATGTTATCACATGCAGAACTTCAAGTTCCTTGACATTCATGATCACTACAGAGAGTTAAAAAGGTGAAGATTACGAAAAGTGATTGAGCTCAAAAATCTACAAACAATATAAATAAAAGGGCATAAAACACTGATCTCTGGAAATACCAGAGGTGGGATAAGGTACCTAGGGGGAGTAAGCATCCCCTGTTGACCGGTTACACGCCGAAAAGATAACTTTAAATTCTAAGTTTTT